TTTCACTGCAGGGCAACCTGCATGTGGCAAATAAAGCTTTGATTGATTAAAGTTTTATTTACTTGTTTTATTAGATTTTTTGTTTATATTTATTGTTAATTTAGCAAGTGTTTTTATACAGTGTATATTTTATATAACTTGCACAGCACTTTGGTCAATAGAGGTTGTTTCAAAATGTGGTATATAAATAAACTTTGACTTGAATTGATGTTCATGTTTCCCATATCAAACCTGTCCACACCCGTCCATTGGGAACCAGTATCATCGCCGTAAATTTGTAAAACTTTAGTTGCAATATTTTCACTGTAAATAAATTCACTGTTATATTTTAAGAGTTTTAGTCTTTTAGTTTTTAGTTTCCACTTAAATCCTGCTGTTGGGGCTCTGTGACACCATATGGGCACTGGAGTTAGAGATTTGGCTGCACTGACTAACAAGTGCCCCAATACATATGGAGCATTTCTTAAATAAATAATATAGCCTAGAATAAGGTATTCAGAAAAACTTTAGGCTTCTGTTTGGTGGGGGAAATTATTTTTCTTTGGTGTTACTCACCACTTAAAAGCACTTGAGTGTCTTTCTGAATTACACCCATGCAATTTATAGGTGCAGCTTAATGTTGTTTGAAAATGTTGTACTCCATCTTCTTCCTAATATGGAATCTATATTGGTACTTATTCAATTTGAGCACTCAAAATACTTTTTATGTATGTTCACACAGAACTGTAGTCTATTGACCAAGTGCTTTGTGGAACATTTAAGCCATACTCTGAGTGGGGCAAATTCAAGGGCAACTTCTGATCAGTGCATGGGATTATGATGTATGTGTATACATGGATTTACAGAGTTAGTTACAGAATGGCAAAAAGCAGTAAAGATAAACTCTGTTAGAGTTAGAGTCCTACCTTCCCAGTGTGTTTGTGGATCAGATGGAAGATTGTGTTGCGTTTCGGGTCCCAGAATAAGCCATCACTGATACTTTTTCTTCGTAGCTTGCCTGTCATAATCTTCAGCAGGTCCAGCTTGATGGGCTGTTCAATGAACACCACGTAGTTCTCAGACATTGCTATAACGAAATGAGAAGAAGTTTCTATTTATGATTCTTTGCAGCGGGACTCAGCTCCAGTAAGACTATAGGATTATAAGAAAACCAATGATTGAAATCATTTTCATTCCATACATCAACTCAGAGTACCACTCCATTGTGATACCTGTGCTTTTTTATTCCCAAATTCAAGATGTGCATGCTTCACTACATGAGACTTTTTGCTCACCAAAGCTGTGATAGTATGAAGGTTTGGTCTTGTCCACTGAAGGAATCGAGCACAGCACTGTGGCTCCCTCCAGGGTTTCATCTTCTGTTTTCTTGGTTGGTGGCACTTGGATAATGTTGTAGTATGATCCTGTCATGCCAGATACTGTTAGATCTTTCATCCGTAACCTGTAGTGTGAAAATGGATCTGATGTTTCTTAAATACCTTTCGAGGTGTAGGAATTTCCCATGTTGTATGTCGTACCATCAGGCTCAGTATGAGGGTGTGCTGTGGCTCCATTCACAGCAATGAATTTGCTCCAGTCTACCTAATACAAACAAATGCAATGGCACAAAAGGTTTGCA